TTTTGACAACCACCCACATATTCCATAGCTTCCAGTGACAGTCACGCAGTGTAGGTTGACAGGAAGCGGGCTTTGGCAACCCCAACCGGCAAAATCTGGATCCTATACGTATTATGTGACGAGACTTAGGTCCTAGTTTTGGGGTGGTTCCAGTTACCAAAATCCCCATACTCCCTTCGAACCGTGAAGCCTAGATCTTATGAGTTCAGCGCTTCCGAAAGAGCCATTGCCTCGTGCTGCCAGCAGGTCTCTTCAGCCGTGGCATCATGTGCCATGGCCTGCTATGTGTTTTTTTACTGGCGGTCCCTTTTCCTGTGATGTACCTCCGTAGGGTTTAGGGTTTAGAGTATCATGGGGACCCAAAATCGGGCCATACTTAGATACCCCACCACGTAAAGTAGAGTCAAAACCCTGGAAACTCAGGCTCAGCGGCGGCTTTGCTGGATGGGCATCGCAGAAGGCTGAAGCCTGCGAGCGGACGCTGAGCACATGAAGGGAAAGGGGCGGTTTAGGATTTAGGGGTTGGGGGGNNNTTTTTGGTTTAGGGCTTAGGGGTTCGCAGGTTTAGGGTTGTTGTCATTACCAGTGTGTGAGGGCGCAACCCAATGTAGATGTGATTCTCTCTGCTGTGGTCACGTTGGCAAGATGCATTTTGAGAAGTACCAGATGAAGGCCACTGGAGGCACTTAGGCTAATTTCCTCTCACAGTAACCAAACCCCTCACCCCCCTAACATAAAGTACTTCCACTATGGCTTTATGATGAGAGTGATATACGGGGTGGGGAGGTTAGTAGTCAGGGAGGAGATTCTGCAGGGCCTGCATCTCTTTGTTCGGAGGTTCTGCTAGTTGGCGGCACGAGCAGGTAAGGAAAGCACCGTCAATACAGTTCAGGCCTCCTACTGGAGAGAGCTGGGAAAACTCCAGGCAGTTCGGGATGTTTCAGGAACCTCCTTGTCCCTGTTTCAAATGAGGGTATAGTAGTTCGGGTACAATAGAGGGCAGAAGGAGGGTCCAGGTTGAGACTCCGGAAAACCGACTTTGTGCTGGGGAGTGGAAAGTCGTTTCAGATTCAATTCTTTCACACACCAGAAACACGGCGCCGTGTGAGATGCGCAAACTACTGCAAGTGGCTCAACAAGTGGGATGAACCACCTATCTTTGTTCTACCCCGAATATATACCCCAATATACTA